CCGCATCGATAACCGCGGAACAAATGGATTTTGCGAACTCGTCGGCTGGGAGATGAATCTCGCTGATCATTTTCAGCGAAGGGATCTACCCTCCCTCACCTGAAACGTTCGCGAAGGGGTTCCATTTGGCCGTTCGTGCCGAGAACACCGAGATCTAACGATGACTCACGTGGGAACGTCGCGATCACGTTTTACGTCGCGCGAATGAGAGAGCCACGTCTGGGAGGACCGAGTTCGCTCTTGTCACTTGCAGCGTGCAAGAGAACTTGTGATCGGCTTTACAGCTTCTAAAATTGCGAACGGCGAGATTCCATCCCGTTCCGTCGTGCCGGCGACGTTATTTTCAGCCCGAAAGTACGTTTTGCGCTCGTCATCTTCGTTCGTCGAGCCTCTCGGTTTCTCTCGAAGAAAATAATCGTATATTGCGCAAAGATTGAAATGCTGAAGTTTCCGATTCGTATGGATATGTCACAGTAAAAGCCTAATTAGTAATTATACACACTTATTAGTCTAGATATGCATTTATATAAAATTTAGGAAAAGTGTCAATTATAAATAAGAATATCTGTTATTCCTAATAAATATGTTCATTTATTGAATTTTATATATTTGCTACAATACATTAGTCAAAGCATACTGCGAATTATCTATCACAATAATAATATATATTTCAGTAAATTTGGAATCATGTTCTTTTGTAACGTTTGTGCAATTTTTATGAAATTTGATCTATGAAGTAATTTGATAATGCTTTATTTGAATCTGAGATAAAAAATAAAAGATCCAAAGATAGATTCAATATGATGCACAAAATTATAAAAAATTATTTTAATTATCACTTAATTTTAGAAAGTTTTTAATAGTGAAGTATTATATAATAAAGTATAACATTGATATAATTTCCTTTTATTTAAAACTCATCTGTATTACTTAAATAGTTTATTGATTTTCAAATTAATTTTCAAACTTTTGATTATGAATCCTATGACACTAGCTCCTCTTTCATGGAAGTCATAAAAGGCATGTAAATTGCATTTATTAGTTTTAGTTAATGCGCATACGTAGCCTATTTTTACTGCATAATCTTTTTTGACTATTGATTATCAAGATAAGATCTTGGTTCATTTTAGCATTTTAAAGCGATTTTATTATTTCAGTTCATTCAAATTCTCTTTATTTACAAATGGCATGCAAAAAATCAACGTGCCATTTATCGCTTATGACGTCACGATTCAGTATGGCTGAAGTGATTACTCAGGAGCTTTAAATTAAACGAACAGGCACGACATATTATTAATACAATGAGAAAAATTTCTGATTGGAAATGAACAAGATTCTGATCACATCAATCAGAATTCTAGTTATCTCAACTAAATGAATTTAACTAGAAAATTTTGATGTATTTTCAATCAGAATTTCAATTAATGCAACCAGGCTCTTTTTTCCAGTTTAAGTTATGTGATTGGCGTGTACATCTGCTAATAATTGAAGTGTTCATTTAAATTTGGTGCATTTTGTTTTCGTACTTTTACTAAATCAGGTATGAAAATAAATGTATACATTTATTTATAAAAGTTTACTTTCATTGCTTGTGAATACATTTACTTATTAAGTTAGTATATGTGCATACATTTTAACTAGTAATATATACATTTACTAAATTAACATTTTTATTGAAACAGATAATTTTCACGATGAAAATGCGATTCGAATTTGATCGACGCGATCCGATTTTAGTAGCTAAACTTGTTTGGAAGAATAATTATGAAAAAAAAGAAAGAACTGGTTTTTCCAGTCAAACTTGATATCTTTTTCATTAAAACTTGTATCTGCTATTGATATTAAAAATTGATATTAAAAGTTTATAAATATAACTTTACAATTGAAGAGAAATTCCTTTCCCTCAAAATAATCGATCGCTGAAATTTGGATTGCGATTGGAAAATTGAATTTTTGAATGTAAACTTCTCATGTATCTATACATATATCGCTCTCTTACTTTAAAAGTGATACAACTGAAAAAACTAAGTATTCTATAGAAAGAGAAAAACTAGTTTTTAATTGGACAAAAACCTAATCAAATAATATCAACAAAAAAAATATATTCTTTATATATGATCGAATATCATTTTTGTCATTTTTTTTTCTTATAAAATCTTGGAAAATCATCTTTTTGATAACTTGATAAATTTTTTTTTAAATCGCTCTTTTCGAGTTGTGACAATTTTGACGATTTTTTAAAATGAAGTTAAATTTTGATTAAAATAGATAATTATTATTTATTTTGGCTTTTCATTCGTGGTACACTCAAAGATTATATTCGGTAAATTGTGTCACTTTTGAAAGTAATATATACTTTTTAAAGAATCAATGGAATAATGAATAATATATTATTATTCAAATATATTCAGTGTATAGTTTAATAAAAAAATAACATATTGTTACACAATAATATTCGAATTGCTATGTCATTAAATTGTAAGAGAGCATTTCATCAATAACTTCGAGCTAAATATCGATGTACAACGTATATAGCCGAATTGAACTGCAATGTAAAATAAATATTTGCGTTTGACATTCCTCGAGCGCTCTCCAATGCGAAACATTTGAAACAAGGATTATCTGTTGCAATATTCGTTTATATGCAATTATTCGTGATCTTTTCATCTATATATTTCCTTCTTATAGCATATGTTTTTGATAAATATAAAAAAACGTGTGCTTTGAAATTAAAAAAATATATCTAATAAACCAATATATAATATTTTTCAATAACAATTTCGAAAAAACAATTTAATTGCCAATAATATAGAAAGAGTTGTAAAACTCTTTCAGAAGTTTCAGGGATATAGCTTTATCCATAATATAAAACATCCCAAAAAATTGACGTAAACATTCTATAAATTATAAATATAAAAAAAAATAAGTTAAAAACAATTTTAATGAAAAATAGTATTTATTTTTATAACAATTTTATTATTTTATTACTTTTTCTTTGACTCTTATTACCGCCAGTAACTCTTTTGAGAGAATAAATTGAGGATGTTTTATAATTATGGCCAAGAGGGTATATTAAGATTTTCTGTAACAAACAAAAACTCGATAGAATAAATGGGAAAGAAATTATTTACGACAAAAGTCATACTTTGCTAACTATACTTTACTAAAGAAAACTTGCATTGCTGTAAAATTTCACCGCCTTGACGCACTGCAATTAAAAACGTATAAATACACTTCACATCGTTCTCATACTATTAAAACAATAAACCGACAATTCGTCCAAAACGATTTTTCCATTTCGATGCCGAAACTACTATGCATTTGCAAACGAAGAGTAGAGTTCAAAGAACTTGCACATCAAAAACCTCAAGCGTCTCCCTGACAATGCAATAAAGTTATTGCGCAAACACATACACACAAATAATTTTTAGACTACAATTACAATATTATGAAAATTTCAATCTCCGAAATATCACTTTAATTTTTATTTAATAATAAAATTTAATTAATAAAAAACTGATGAATTAAATTTCTAAAAAACAAATGTTTTCAGACAAATCCGATTTAAATATATCAATTTAGATTAACTTTAATCTCGGT